TTTTTCTCTCCTTTTCCCTTCCCTTTCTTTTCTCTTCCTTTCCCTTTCTCTCTCCTTTTCCCTTTCCCTCTCCCTTCCTTTTCTTTCCCTTCCCTTCCCTTCCTTTCCCTTCCTTTCCCTTCCCCTTCCCCTCACTTCTCCATCTCCTGTCATCTTTTTTGTTTCATTTTTTTCTTCCCTTTCCTTCCCCTTTTCCCTTCAGAGAGAGAGAGAGAGAGAGAGAGAGAGAGAGAGAGAGAGAGAGAGAGAGAGAGAGAAGGAGAGGGAGGGAGAGAGTTTTAACCTAACAAGTGATTTGAAACTGGCTATTGGGTTAAAAATAGCAGCAATCTGTCTTCAAGCTGAGGTATTCCATTTGGATTGGCTCTTATGCTACTTGGCACGGCCATGATCTATTACTGTGTTCCAGGCCAGTCAAATTCTTAATTATCCCAGAATCTGGCCCATTTTAGAGGCGGGGCGTTTCCTTGACCATCGGGTTTGCGTCCCTGGACCATTTGATCAGCAGCTTCTGCCAAATCAGCTACGGGTTTTCCTCTGACAGGTGCCAACCGTTTGACCCAACCATTTATCATTCGGATGTTAATTGCTCTAATGGACTCCGCCATATGGTTTCTCCTCTACTTGGGTCTTTATCATTGGGCGAGGAGACCAGTAGGGTGAGGAAAAAAACACCGGGCAGGCGGGAGACTTGAAGGCCACCAAGTATGTTTCCTGCCTTCACAAACTTCTGGGGTTGCCAGCACAGGAAATAGGAGCATAATGGACTTCCTTGATGTTTAAACCAGATGGAGATTTAAGACTTGGCAACACGGGACATTTGTTTTCTGCAGTGGTCCAACCTGTTTGCTTTGCAGTCCCTTGCTTATTTTCAGATTGCCTGAGCCAAGCCACTAGATCTCATGGCCGTTAACTATCAATCAATCAGAATAGAGTTGGAAGGGACTTTGAAGGTCTTTTAGTCTACCCCACTGTTCAAACAGAAGACCCCATACCATTTCAGACAGGTGGCTTTCCAGTATCTTCTTGAAAACAACCAATGATGAAGCACCCACAACTTCTGGTGGCAAGCTGTTCCACCGGTTAAATTGTCCTCCACTGTGAGGAAGTTTCTCCTTAATTCCAGGTTGCTTCTTTCCTTGGTTAGTTTCCATCCATTGTTTCTTCTCCTGCCCTCCAGTGCTTTGGAAAATAAGTTGACCCCCTCTTCTTTGTGGCAGCCTCTCAAATACTGAAATACTACTATCATGTCACCCTTAATTCTTCTTTTCTCTAGAGTAGCCATACCCAAATCCTGCAACCATTCTTCATATGTTTTGGTCTCCAGGCCCTTAATCCTCTTAGTTGCTCTTCTCTGCACTTTTTCCAAAGCCTCAGCATCTTTTCTGTAACGTGGTGGCCAAAACTGGATGCAATATCCCAGGTGTGGCCTTACTAAGGTTTTATAAAGCAGTACTAATACTTCATGTTATTTTGATTCTATGCCTCTCTTTATACAACCAAGGATTGTGTTAGCTTTTTTGGCTGCTGCTGCACACGGCTGGCTTTATGATTAAAATGGAGTAGGCTCCATTATTATCTTTCTGAAGAGGAATACATCATGTGACAGATACTAATGAGAATATTGTCCATATATAACATTAATTCTGGACTTTTGTTTGTTTCGCTGTTAAGATCAAACAAATTTTAGGTTTTTGCATGTAGGTACCTGAATATTGCTGACTTCTTCTTGAAACACAAGCATTTACATATTCAAATCATTTTAGGATTATTATTTTTTAAATAAAAAAGACAGCTTTGCCTTAAGTGAAAGCGACGGGTGGAAATAAACTTATTTTAAACCTTATTTGCATCCTTAGCTAAAGCAGAAGTTCAGGTTTTTGTGCCCGTCGCGGAAGAGTTTTGAGTTTTTGCTGTGGTGGCGTGACCTGAGCTGCACTATGATTTTGGATGTCCCGTCCTTCATCTCTTTTCCAAGCTGTTTTCAGAAAATAGAATTGCCTGACCCTGGGTGAGGTTGATTCTACTTTAATTTGGGGTTCTGTTGATCTATTCGCCAAGAATAGATGTGGCATGATCATTCCAACATTTCAGAAGTTCTTATCCACAAGAAACAGGGAGACATATTTTTGTCTGAGTTTGGTCCAGACAGGAAGCATTTGTTAGTTTGTTTATAGCCATAGCAATTGCACTTAGACCTATATACCATTTCATAGTGCTTTACAGTCTTTTTTAACCAGTTTACAGAATCAGCATCCTGCCTGCAACAATCCAGGTCCTCATTTTATCAACTTTGGAAGGATGGAAGGTTGAGTCAACTTTGAGCCAGTTAGAATCAAACTGCTGGCAGTGGGCAGAGTTAGCCTGCAATATGGCATTCTAACCACTGTGCCACCACAGCCCTTCCTTCCTTCCTTTCCTCCCTTCCTCCTCTTCCCTTCCTTCCTTCCCTCCCTCCCTCCTCTCTCCTTCCTTCCTTCCCTCCCTCCCTCCTCTCTTCTTCCTTCCTTCCTTCCCTCCCTCCTCTCTCCTTCCTTCCTTCCCTCCCTCCCTTCTCTCTTCTTCCTTCCTTCCTTCCCTCCCTCCCTCCTCTCTTCTTCCTTCCATCCTTCCTTCCCTCCCTCCTCTCTCCTTCCTTCCTTCCTTCCTTCCTTCCTTCCTTCCTTCCTTCCTTCCTTCCATCCTTCCGTGGTGAGTAAAATGAGGACCCAGATCGTTGGGGGCAACAGGCTGACTCTGTAAACCACTTAGAGAGGGCTGTAAAACACAGTGAAGCAGTA